TAATAATAGCAATAATAATAATAATAATAATAATAATATGATCAATTTATTTCTTTTCATGCAACACGCATTAGATGTGTTACATCGCGTTCTGGTTAAACGTTTTGATCTATGCTGTGACCGCTCGTGTTACTGAACAAGCGAGTGATTACATTAACCCAGCTCCTGATTCGAATGAACTGGCCACTTACAATCCAAAAGATCATAACTACGGAGAATTACAACATTCAACGTTTGCGCATTATCCAAGTGTTATCGAGACAATTACACCATATATTAATTTCGTTAGCTTTTCTATACCCCGAATTGATCCATCCAATTTAAATTATTATGCTGCAGATCAAGGGTTAAATGCAGAAATTAGTCCTGCAGAAATTGCACATCCTGAGCAATCGTATAACTTGCAGTTACTTACTGCTCCTTTCCCTGGATACCAAGAGAATAATAGATATTATCACAGCAATCCTGTTCATCAAAGCATTTTACCACCGATTAAGCAAACATACGAGAGAATAAATAATTTACAAAAATTCTTACCTCAGCCTGAATCTTTACAAAATACTCAGCAAATTGTTAAAGTATCAAGCGTTCATAACGATGAGCCGCCATCAACACTTGTGCATGAAGGAATGAAAACATTAACATCTAAAATATTGTCTTCTATCAGGCCCGCGGTAAAGAGTGAATCTTCTAATAACAATCAATTCCCCAACTTAGCAGCAGTAGCATCGAGCGCATCACCGTATCAACAACATGTGTACACTGCTCCCTTTAGTGGAAGTAATCGAGAAAGTAAGGCCACTTTAGAAGCATCTGATGTCCCTAAACAAACAATTAGTTCTCATTATAAAATCGAACACTTGCGATCAAGTCCTAGCACCTATCTCGTAAATGTTGGATCTACGGACCAAATCCACGATGCAAATGCCTTTACACAACTTCAACGGATTCAACTTATTCCTGACGATGCAATGCAACAAATTCACAATGAACTCACCATTGCTTCACCTCGCAAACAAATTGACCATCGCACCGTCGCCAACACTCCTGTAGCACAATCAAGCAAAACCCCTGCATCATTGCAAAAAACTTTTCACTTGCCCTTAAGCGTTCCTGCAAAACCAGCTGTTAAATATGCTAATTTGGGGCCGTTTCTTCCGTTTTCCAAATTTAATCAAATCTTCTGACTCAAATCAGCAGCGTATGCTTGGTAACGCTTACAATCGCAAGGGTAACTATATTTGTCGAGAAACTTAACTTTATTTTAATATAAATCTATTTTGTTAATATTTAATAATAATAAAAATAAAAAAAAACTTGATTTCTGAAAATCTGATTATAGTATAACTTGCAAACATTTATTGAAATAATTTAAACAAGTAACAAAATTATATTCGATTGCGACCGAATCTTTTATACCCATCACCGTTATCCTACATTTTAAGAATAACAATAATTTTGCGGAAATTTGTCCCGTCTAATTGTTGTGTAGCACATGAGCAACAACCAAGAGACAGGGGAAACAAAGGTGTTCACAGCTTCTTTTGCATAGACCGGTGGTCGTTCTGTGCACATTCTTTACAAAGTTTGGTGCTGTTCCAGACAGCACATGCACTATGCAGTTGGGTAGACAAAACAGATAGATGAACAACAGACGAACGAACGGACATGCATCGGTGCATTGCAAGTCTAAAAGTGGCCAAGAGTTTATATACTTTATACTGGTTATACTAATTTCTCCGAGTTACAAAGGTATTGAAAAAAAAAAATTAAATTTTGACAAACTATAGAAATAAGCAGGCGTGGTCAGTTTTTTTCCATTTTACCAATAGCTATTTAATGTAGGTTCATTTGTTGCAGCTTACGTGCAATAAGCAAAAAACAATTTTTTATATATGTTTTTGAAAAACAGAGGTGCTCTCAGCTTATGTAGCACTGAATTTGATGCCGATCAAGAATGTATGTATATAATTTGTGGGATCTCTAAAGCGTCGTTCTGAGAATTTTGACCAAGTCAATATACCCCCCTCATCCTTCGGAAGAGAAGGTTATAATACAATTATAATAACTGATGACTTTGATAACATTATTAAAATATTATTAAAATATTATTAAAGTCTATCTATCTCTGTGCTTCTCTGCGCTTTTTCTTTGTAATTCGAGAGGAGGCAAAACACCATTTAACGATGCCAGGCCTTCATTGGGGAACATTGTCGACAAAAAATTAAACGTGAGAAATATTGGGATGTACTACCGCGTAGCTGTATTCACCAGATCTTTTAGGTCCTTGTTGCTATTTTTTTTGATCGACGCCTCACTCGCGATCCGTACAGCAGTTTTGTCCCCACAATACTATCCAAAAAATAAAACATTTTATGGGTAATTAGATTACGTCGGATCCTTTTGTAGATAAAGAACGAATTACTGCAAGATAAATGGAAGAAATACCACATAATACCGTGGACAGCGCACAATATTGTATTTACTATCAAATAGTAAATGAAGTTCTTCCCTCGCGTGGTTGTTGTCGAAATTTCTTCTCCATTCGGACAGTTTGCAATAATCTCCAGTTGTTCAAACTTTACAAACATTTTATTAATTAAATAGTTTGGTAAACCATTTTTTTGAAACCCCCTGATTATTTCAGACGTTTTTTTTTTCATCCTGAGTCCAAAAAATGGTTTTTTCGTCCTACTAATTACTTTAATGGACAATACAGTTAGAACTGAGACCGATCTTAATCGATAACTCTGCATATGTGTAAAACGAGGAAAACCAAGTAGATAATGGTATGTTATATATATATATATATATATATGTATAACACATACATTCAACATCTCTGTCAAATAGCAATTAGACTCATGCATTCGGTAGCCGAAAAATTTTCATTAAAACTTTCGTTCAAATCCATTCGTCCGTCTCTTTTCCATCATCTTTTTCTACCTTTGCCTTCATTTATCCGTCTGATTGTCCGTCCACTGTCATTCAGGGGAGAAACTTCCAAGTCGCAAAATATATAAATAAACAGCAAACAGTAGTTTTTATATGATGGCTGCTTAAGACTGCATTTCTTCTTTATTCTTAACTATTTCTTTTTAAAAATAACCCAATTTTTAACTGTGAAATGGTTTCTGCTCAAGTCTACGTCTATGATTACACCTCTACCTACATCACCTGGTAGAGGGCATAGTATATTTGTGCCGACATACGCAACGACCAGAAGAACTTCAAATATACCCGCCTTCTATTATATCGATCGATTCAAAATCATTTTCTAAAGCTTGTCTTTTCGCCTGTCCATCTGACAACTGTCCAGGTTTTTGCTCTTTCAATCTATCAACCTTGCGTTCCAAGGAAAAAAAAAAGAAAACGGCAAAGTGATATGTCTATCTACGCCCTACGCCAAATGTGATGCAAGGGTATATTAAATATGTTTAGATGTATGCAACACCCAGAGCGACTTGAGATAGGTCCACACTTTATTATGCCCATCGATTCGGAATCATATTTTGAATCGATCTCAGCTTATCTTTCCATCTGCCTTTGTCTCGTTTGTGCGTTGTGTTTTCAACCTATAGACTGCAATTTTTGAAATATTTCGATTAAATTTCGTATACCGACATTTTTTAGTCCAAAGACAATTGCTATTGAAAATGGCTCGGATTGGACCACTTTTCCAACCACACCACGACTGAAGATTATATAAACCTTAAAGTTTTAAAAAAAGCCTATGCTTTAAGATGCCTAAATGTTTGGCATGGGTTTCTCAATTCTTCATACAAGTATCCTGTAGGAATTGAATAACTATCGAATCAATCTTCAGATAAACAGAACGAAGGAAGGAAGTGATACATTTAATACATGGTTTGCCTTGCAGACAAACAGTGTTTGTTTTCTTAAGATCATCTAAACTCAAATTCCATAAATTTTATTGTCGGCTTCATTCTGTCTTTCCAAATATTTTAACTTAACCATGACATCAGAGCATGAAGATTTGCAGCCAAATACAGCATTCGGCCATTAACATTTGTCCAATATTTGATTAAATGTTTATTGCTGTAGCGATTATTTTTGTATTTATATTAAATGTTGCCATCATTTTTTGTCATAATTAATCGCAAAAGAATAGAAATTTGAAAAACAGGTACTTAATCGCTTCAAGTTAGCTACAAATACACCTAGCTTTGTTTTGCTACTTCTTTCGAAAATTCCAGTTCTATTATCAGGTTTTAATTCTTTTTTTTTTTTTTTTTTTTGTTTTAAAAGAGAAAGCAAATTGACGAGTATCATCAAATTTATGTAAGATATGAAATGAAACAACAACACGCGAACATTGCCAAAATCTTTTGGTGTACATTTCGGTCTATAGAACGTGAAACAAACTCATTGCTAAGAACGCGTATATATAGATAATACGACGCGATGAACTCAGTTAGTATATCAAAAATCTTGAACAAAAAGCTGACAAAAAATGGTTAGTTCAAAAACATAGTGATATTATATATGAAAACATTAGTTATAAATAATCTTTGATTAAAATAAGATAACTAAAAAAAAAAAACGTTAATTCAGTACACATTAAGAAAAAAAAAAATATAAAAAAAACGACACTTTTAATACCTTCAGTGAAAAATATTTTTCAAATCTTGATTTCATAAACTCACATGGAACTACATTTTATGTTAACTAAATTAGAACACTATTGGAAGTTAACTCACTTAATTACTCAAAACACTTTAACTGTTTCATTTTTTTTCCTTTGCTCGCAATCCTTTACTTTTTTGCAGAAATTTTGCACCGCTCTTTTTCTGAGCATTGTAGCTTTCGGCGCCGCCGACGTTAGCCATGTGATCACAGCATATTTGCCACCTCATCAGGGTGCAGCCACACATACTTACGCAACCTATTCCGCGCCCTCTGGCGGAGTAAAGTCAACAAGCTACTCTTCGAAATCGTACTCGACTCCATCGAGTTACTCGACTTACTCCAGCAGTTACAAATCTCCTTCTAGTTCTAGCTACTCTTCAAGTCACAGCGCTAGCTCAGAACATAAAGGATTAAGTTCACACGGATCTGGCAGTTATCATGGTAGCACTGGAAGCAGTTATAGCAGTCCTGCAAAAACTTCTCATTCCAATTACAAATCACCTTCGAGTTCTAGTTACTCTTCTAGTTATAACAATTACTCGGGACAAAAGGGATCAGCCTCTCACGGGTCTTACAATTCGGGAAAATATCATGATAGCTCCTCAGGCTATAGCGGCTCTGGTTTTAGCTCTGCCTCACATAGTGACAGTCATTCTGGACATAATGGCGCAAATTCGCGTAATACATATGGATCTGGCAGCTACCACAGTTCTACCACCTATAGCACTCCTGCAAAAACTTCCTCCTCCTCCTCCTCCTCCTCCTCATCCTCCTCTTCCAGTTACAAAAGCCCATCTAGTTACAGCTATTCTTCTGATTATAATAAAAATCAAAAAGGTTCTACATCATCGTCGTTGTCTTCGTCGAAGGACAGCGGTAGTTACAAACCTTCATTTAGTTCCAGTTACTCTTCGAAATATGATAGTCACAATACACATAAACCTACCGTCCATACCTACAGCAGCTACAAGCCCTCATCCAGCTCCAGCTACTCCTCAGGTTATAGCAGTAACAACGGACACAAAACGCAAAGTCATTACAGCAGTCCTGCGATAACTTCTCATACGGCGTCTAATGAGCATAAAAAAACGACTGTTGGTAGTTACAGCAGTTATAAGCCGTCGTCCAGCTCTAGCTACTCTTCGAATTATAATAATCAGCATACACACTCACCAGCGGTTGCTAGCTACAGCAGCGACAAACCGTCCTCAAGTTACAGTTACTCTTCAAAATATGATAGCCACCACACACAGGCACCCGTTGTTACCAGTTATAGTACCTATAAGCCGTTATCCAGCTCCAGTTATTATTCGGAAAATCATAATAGTAACGGACATGAAACGAATGCTCATACCAGCGCCCCGATAGTAACTTCTCATACGTTAACTAATGACCATCAAACACCTGCTGTTAATACTTATAGTAGCTATACGCCTTCGCTTGGCGCAGACTCCTCTTCAACTTATGAAAGTCACAAAACTGAAATAACTCACAATGCTCCGGTAGAAACTACTCAGACAATATCCGATCACCAACAAGCGCCGGCTGTCATTGGATACGCAGTTCATGATACATACAGCGAACCGAATCTTGAAACTTATCCTATTCAAACATCAGCATACAGCGTATCAAACCGACAAGACGCATCTCCTAATAATGATTACACCGTACACGAAACTTCTGCTACTCATAGTTCCCCTCTCGCATACACGGCCTCTTCAAGTTTGGATTATTCGTCCGGATTAAATAGTTACACTTTACATGATGCGGCCGGTACCCACCCCGTGCCCTCATACTCCCATTACACGCACTCTGGCGACAACTCTAATCATCATCATGGCACTTCCTCAGGCAGTACGGTGTACGGTTCCAATGGTGGTTATGTTTATAACAAAAAATAATTTTCTGAAATAAACAAGCTCTGCTAACTCTCCAAATTGTTCAATTATTTGCTGCAATATTTGAAAAAAAATTTGTTTTGTTGTTTCTTTAATAAAAAAAAGCAGAAAAAGGCTACAAGATCAATTTACTTAAATAAACCGTTATATCTTTTACTTTTTCGATTTCGTCATATATAAAATATTTAACTTTTTATGAACATTATTCATGTCGTCGGCATTCTTAACTTTCAAGGTTTTCGATTCGATCTCTTTTACAGCGACTACATCGCCCGGCTTTATATAATGATTCTCGGGTATCTTAGATGGATAATCAGTAATAAAATAATATCTTAATCGATTTTCTATGGTTTCCTTTGTCACAAGGCCAGCAGATTTATTGGACAATTGTGTCATTTTAGCTGTAGTTGAAATATCTGGAATTATTTCGCTATTTGTTCCATAGATCATCAAACACAGTAGCAGCATTTTTGTCAACATTTTAGTCCGGCATTTCATACTGAAATCAGTCGGAATTTTTCCTTACACTATTTACTTTATTTTTAATTACTGTTTAAAATAAATCAATTTACCTGAACACTTTTTTGCTTTTGAGCTCTCAACGTAAACTAAATGTTTTACATGATGCGAAACTTTCTTTTATACTTGCAGTCAAGTATGTATTAATTGAGAAGGTGGGCGGGTAAATGCAGTAAGAAGCAAGTTTAAAGAAAGTGACAAATATCGTGCAAGATTGTATTAAAAGCGCTTTCGCTTATAATTAGCTACACGTACAAAAATACTTAGATGTATTTTACATAGATAAAGAAATCGAAAGATGTCGGGCGAATGGCACATTTTGCATTGATGCTTAACAAATAGCTTATCTAAATGGTGAGGGCAACGACCGCGATAAACATTATCTTATCTTTACAACATAAAAATTAATATTTTTCAAAATATACATATTCCAACTATTTATTCATATGAAAATTCTCTTCTTAATCGCTTTCTTCTTTCGTGCGATAATATTGTGCTGAATTTACTACGACGCAAATCAACATAATCTACGCATAAGCCTTTATATAATACATATATTGTATAATTATGAACTCATATAAAACCATTGTATGAATTTAATTAATATCGCAATGAGATAAATGAAAACTGTAAGAAATGCTGCACGAAAGTAACTTATCGCGAAAAAGTTGTGCGCACATTTACTCACGTAATAGTTATCGATTGCTTAACAAGAAACTTCACTGTCCAAACGATTAGTTCACGATTATTTTAAAAATCATTTATACCTATGTTATGCATGATTTTTCTCGAAGTTATAAGCGTAGACCTTCGAATAAACAGCAGCAGGCATCAGACTCAGCAAAGTTTGCTCACGAACCTCTTTTCGCCGCGTACGGCTTGCGTTTAGAATCAATTTTGATTAGTTTAGTCAAATTGTCAATTCAGATAAGTTCGCAGGAATTTTTTTTGTTTTAAATCGATTGCGGAATAGAACATAACAAGCTACGATATCGAATTATATCCTACAATGGAAACACGAACTTGCAAATATCATGGCAAACAATTAGAGTCCTTAGGGTCAAAAATGCGAGTTTCTTTTCTACTCTTTTTTTCTTTTCCGTATTTGCTGTATATGTCTCACAATTAATGAGCATCTCCACTTCCTTTTCTGCGTGCGATAGGCGTCTAAAAGGGTTTTTCCCTCTGTCCGACTTAACGTTCAACTCAGTATTAAGCTTAAATTGCACCATTAAAGTTAGCTTCAACTCAAAGAAAAACTTTAATTAATTCGCTAAGTGTAGCGTGGCAAACATATGCAATAATTGTGTTGACCCCTTTATTTAACGAGTTTACAGTAATTTTTAACACCATAACTTCGTAATTGAATATTTTATCCACTTTAAGAGCTTTCGACTGACAATAAAAATAAAAATTCTTCGCATAAAAGCCCCTAAATACCTCAACAGCTATGAAAGGTAGCAAAAATCTGTAACAATAAATATTCAAAGTTCAAATAATTTACAAGAGTTGAGATTAGCATCCGCTACTGCTACGTCGACGTATTGCGTATCCTTGATCTATGAAATTCAACTGAAAACAAATTTCAACTTTATGTAAGAATATCTGAAAATTCAATTAAAACCGTAGTCTATCTGATTAAATATTAATTTCTAAATATACGGATTTTCTAAAAATGAATGAAACAAACAAAATTTGTATTTTCATATTATATTTATATACATCTAACAAAAAATTTATAATACTAGAGTGTAATTATTTTATTATACACAAACATGTACCTGCGCATTTTTAATAGACATATCCACCATTCTCACCGTATTTAGTATCAATACCGTTTGTAGCTCCTGCAGAAATAGAAAATACTGGAGCAGTCGTTGGACTACCACCGACTGCTTGTGCGTATGGGCTTTTATAGGCAACCGAAGCTACAGTAGGCGATACTGAATAGGGCTTTTGTACAATTGAAGCTTGTACGGCTGGTGCCCTGTATGTTTGGGTTTGCAGTCCAGAGCCAGTAAATGCACCCGTTGTCTTTTGGACAGGAATTGAATAGGTTTGTTGTACTGCCGGTGCTATGTAGCTTTTTTGAACGGTCGTTGTAGGTCTTCCGTAAGTTGTTTGCAGCACTTGCTTTTTCGGCAGCACTACCGGCTTCTGTGCCCCTGTTAACGCGTAAGTCTGTTGAGCAGTTGGAACGTTATATGTTTTTTGAACTGCGGGACGAATATATGAGCTTTGCAAGCCGGGCTGAGTAAATGTTTTCTGAAGAACTGGTTGCGTATAGGTTACTTTGGCGCTAGTTTGTTTTTGAACTGGCGTTGGATACGTTTGCTGGACTCGAGAACTTGTGTAAGTACTTTGTAGGCCTGGTTGCGTAAATACTTTTGGAACAGATGAGGCTGTGTAAGTTTTCTGCACACCTGGACTGGTGTAAGTGACTTGAGAGCTCGGTTGAATGTACGTCTTCTGAACAGCTGGGGTTGAATAAGTTTTCTGCGCTCCAGGACTGGTGTAGGTTACCTGTGATCCTGGCTGGGTATATGTTTTTTGAGCAGCCGGAACTGAATAAGTTACCTGAGTACCTGGACTAGTGTAAGCCTTTTGAGCAGTTTGAACTGAATAGGTTTTCTGGACACCTGGACTGGTGTAAGTGATTTGAGAGCCTGGTTGAGTGTATGTCTTTTGAACAGCTGGAGCTGAATAAGTTACTTGAGCACCGGGGCTGGT